ACGGACGAGGAACCGACAGGTCTCCCGGAATAGATTTTGAGATGTCCCCCGCTATGACTGGCTGTTCCGTTTCTGCGGTTTCACCCTGCCGCGACAGATAACAACTTTTGCGTTTTCAATGTTGATAGTTTCTTAAACAACTTTTTTGGTGGAGTCCGGCAAATTTTCAAATATAAGAAAGCTGTTGGGTATTAATAAATGATCAACATGTGTACTGTTTATATTTATGTGGCATTTTGTACAATGATAAATTTGCAATTCATCGGTCCGTTTCTGACTCAAACGGACTGTAGTGTGGTATTAATCATTGGAGGTGGTTCCAACCTCTTGCCACAATATGGCTCTTGTTGTTGCCCTGGCATTTTAGCTGAGACACGATGCTTGCAAAATAAAACAGCACAGCCTTATCAAATACTACATTTTAGACGCTTTTGTGAATATGACTGTTTGCCTTCAATAACGGAGCTGAATGAATATCAGCTTGAATAGGGGCTTGAATGAATAGTGGCTTGAATGAATAGAGGCTTGAATGAATAGTGGCTTGAATGAATAGTGGCTTGAATGAATAGAGGCTTTATGGGATAGGGAATTGAAGGCTTAGGGGCTTGATGGAATACCGGTTTGAAAGAATTTGATTGTGAATTTCTTTGGAATTTCATGGAATAGGGGTTTGAAGGAATAGTAGCTTGAAGAAATAGAGGTTTGATGGAATACGGAATTGAAGAATCAGGGGCTTGATGCATTAGCGGGTCGTAAATTTCTTTCTGAAATAGGTAGTGATGCTAAATTGATGATATTCACCATTTTCAACGAGCCCGTTGATAAAATCTGTTTTTCAACAAGGATGGTCGCAGTGAGAGAGGCGGCATGTAGTCAGCGGCGCTTGTTGACAAAGAACGCATGTCAACGTTCCGTGCTTGTTACAACTTTATTGTGAGGAATGAGTAACATAACAGACATTTTGATTCAGTAAAAGGCCTCTTGACCAAAACACACACAGAAACAGGATCATGAAGCGGAAGAGATATCAGATCTACTATTAGGGATTAATTTACTTTACACATACATGGATTTGTAACAATATCAGTGCCCTTACTTTGCATGTTAAGGAAGGTCACATACCTTAAATACGTTTCAGCTGCAATAGGTACACCTGGTACAGGAGAGGAAACTGTAGTAACCAGAGTTTGTATAGAAGAAGAAGCTGTAGTAACTATAACCAGTGCAGGAGAAGAACTGTAGTAACTACAGCTGATATAAGTGAAGAAACTGCAGTAACTACAGCAGGTGCAGGTATAAAAAAAGTGAAGTTGGAGATGAACCTATAGCTGGTTGGTGCAGGAGAAGAACTTGTAGGGATTCGAATCCACACCCTCAGAGTCAGGCACCTAATAGCCACCACAGTCTGACCCAGTTGTGTGCAGGGGATTAGGTGTATGACTCTAAGGGTATAGGATGCATGACCCCGCTGGTCACCCATGACGCCTCAACTTTCTTATACAAGACCAGTTGGCGGGCCCTTCGAGCTTGCGCTGCTCGGGTCCGGTAAGATCTTCATTGATGATAAATCGTGACAACTGGCAAGTTATGCGTTCTCCTAAGGTCCTCATATAGCTTCCGGTCTCAATTACGATTTGTGAATCTTAAATCTGAATCTTATATGTGTTATTCAGAATGGTTGCATTGTATTCTCTCTTCAGAAACAGTTTTAAAAAGGAAGCAATAAAACTATGTTTTTCAATGGCAATACTTCACTTTCCGAATGAAAGCATATATGACATTATCTGCTGTGTCCATATATGAAAACAACCATAGGAATGTGCTTGATGTTTTAACAAATTATGTTCTGGTCACGTGTCCTCGTTGAGCATGGAGGGTCGGTTTGCTTGGCTAGTGGTTAAAGCGTTCGCTCGTGGATCCGGGTCCAATTTCCCATATTTGCATAATGTGTGTGAGGCCACCCCGAGATATTGCTGGAATATTACAAAAAGCGGCGCAAACCACACTCACTCGCTCACTCGTTGATTACAGAGTAACAGCATGCTACGAGATTCCTTCTTATCGTTTATTTGCATATCTCCTTAAAGGCATTGCAACTCTTTAATCTTGCATGAAAATGCATTTAGATGATATCAGCTTTTACTGACATTATTGTAACATGCAATTTGTATGTGTCTCTGTATGGTTCATACACGGACATGGGCGACGGCAAAATAGTCGGGGCTGCATGAAATACATGGACAGTGTCGGTTATAATGAAGTGAGTGGGTGAGTTTAGTTTTACCCGCTTTTAGCAATATTCCGGCAATATCACGGCGGGGGACACCTAAAATGGGCTTCACACATAGTAACCATGTTGAGAATCGAACCCGGGTATTCAGCGTGATTAGCGAACGTTTTAACCTCTAGGCCACCCCACCGCCCCGTTCTTTAGGAAGAATGATCCAGCGTATTTTACAATATCATTCTAATTGATTATTCATTCGGAAAATAATCAACGTTTTTAAACCAGTCGGCGTGACGAGTGAACGCTTTAGCCACTTGGCTACCCCACAGCCCAAATAATGGCTGAACGTTTGTCAAGTTATATTTATCAATAATACCATTTGCAAGGCATTACATGTACTTGACTTCATACTCATAGGCATATATGGAGAGATTATTCATATTGGTCAACCCATTTCGATCGTTATTAAAAAGTCATTACTGCAAAATTTACACTAGTCTTTCATGTTAAATAGCTGTCTTTGAAACACAGCTTCTATTCCGAGCTGATTTGCTTTTCAGTCACTTCCCGTCCCACGCCCAGCGATGACATTGGCATTATGTGATTTACACCAGCCATTAATGTTAAATAGCTGTCTTTGAAACACACAAAGTATTCCGAGCTGATTTGCTTTTCAGTCACTTCCCGTCCCACGCCCAGCGATGACATTGGCATTATGTGATCTGACAACGGAAAACAAATGGAAGTTCTTGTGCTTATTTACTCTTTGAAGTGTAGCTTTTCTACAACTTAACACATGCTAAATGATACATAATAGTGGATAAAAGAAACCTTGCTTTTTAATTTAGTTTGTAAACTACTGACTGTTTTTGCTATTGAACACTCACTGAGTACATGTTGTGACAACAACCATCTGTCAGACTCAGGATTCAGGATTTTATTCTCATAAATCATACAAAATGATATCGAGAACATACATATATTTAAATAAATACAAAGTTCCATTTTGGCTCATATGCATATGAATATAATATAAATGTATAACTAAAACAGGGATAATACAATTTTCGTTAAACGTGACAGTTTCTGTACCAAAGGATGATAGTCAGATTTCATAAGGGAAACAGATTTATCAATATGGGGGTTATTACAAAAATAGCTAGGGAGTATACTTTTTCTTACATCATCTAGAGCTCTGCATGATAATATAATATGAAATTCGTCACATATAACAGGCTGGTTACAAATTGTACATATTCTATTTTCTGTGTCTATATTATACCATCTGCCGGTTTCCGGTAATCTGTGATTGCATGTTCGCAGTTTTGTTAACCGGATACGTTGTTTCAATGGGAGACTGATTAAATAAGGTTCTAAGTTGGGAGTGTGCATATATAAGGAGTAGTATTTACATTTTGATGAGTTTTGAAGGTCAGCATTCCATGATTGCTTAAACTGATCTATAAGTGTGTATTTAACATAGTTCTTCAGCCAGGATGCGGAAGGAAACCTTTGGGACTGCCATATATAAGATAACCCAACTTTTTGAAGTATACTTTTCACTACATTTAAAAGATCAAATTGAATACCCAAACAAGTTGACACATTAGCCATTACATTATACACTATATGAGGAAACTTATGTATTGATGTAATGACTTTACACCAGTAACTTATTATTCTTGTTTTAATCATTACTTCAATAGGATATCTACCGAGTTCCCCATAAACCATAACATTTGGAGTAGATTGTCTTACCTTAAGTATATACTTACAAAATTTCAGATGCGTTCTTTCTAAAATAGCTGCATTTTCATACACCCAAACACCTGACTACGGAAGCGTAGTAGGGCCACGGTGAAAAGAAATTGGGGGGTCACTATCTCCTACGTAGGACTTAATATGTCCTACGTAGGACTTAGTATCTCCTACGTAGGACTTAGTATCTCCTACGTAGGACTTAATATCTCCTACGTAGGACTTAGTATCTCCTACGTAGGACTTAGTATCTCCTACGTAGGACTTAATATCTCCTACGTAGGACATACTATCTCCTACGTAGGACTTAGTATCTCCTACGTAGGACTTAGTATCTCCTACGTAGGACTTAATATCTCCTACGTAGGACATAGTATCTCCTACGTAGGACTTAGTATCTCCTACGTAGGACATACTATCTCCTACGTAGGACTTAGTATCTCCTACGTAGGACTTAGTATCTCCTACGTAGGACTTAATATCTCCTACGTAGGACTTAATATATCCTTTTTAAGGATGGTTATTAAGTTGAGAAATGTTTGGCTATGCATGACGTTAGATAGTCGAAATGTGAGTCAGTGAATATTCTTGGCACTAACGCAGTGTTACTGTACAGTGTTATTGTGTGTGTATTACGTTAGGGTGACGTGGACCCTGTTCTAATTGCAGTTATGGAGGTTTGGGTATGGTTATGTGTAATCTATCATACATACATCTATTCACACACACAAACACTCACACACACACACACACACACACACACAGAGGGGTGTGGGATGGTTGGGGTGAGGTTGTGATATGAAACTCGGGTTATAACACGACCTCCGCAAGTTGTTTGTCTTGATGCGGCTAGATTGGATCGGATGCAACGCTTGACTTGACTAGGGTGGACAAGTGTTGAGTGCGGCGTAAATCAATACGAAATTCAAAAAGGCAAAGAATTGTCATTATAGTTATTTGTATAAATATAAGGGGATACGTACACATAGATTTTTCAGATAGTCAGTTGGTGACATCAGTAATACATTCTTGCACGTTGTCAGCTTTTACATTGTCAATTTCAAAGCATAATAATTCGATACATTTGGAATCAGTATGATTGGAAAATTCAGTGCCTTTGTCATTGTTCCATCTATTAATTCTAGTATGAAAATGTACATAATTCATGTCACTATCATCCTCAGTTTTCTGTACATCGTTCACATTATTTTTAAGACACAAAGTAAACTCTAAAGCACAGTGAACGTCTGAGAATATTTGATCACATTCGGCTATTGAGAACGTATCTAGTACAGTAAAGACTTCTGATGTTGCTAAACAATAGTCAACCACACTAAGAAAATCATCGCCCTAAGCCGTGGATGCATCCAGGGTATAGTGGAGAGTTATCGTAACGTATACCCTGGAGATTATCGAAATGTCTCTCTTAGAGCACAGCCAAATATGCCACACGTACCAACTTGTAATTCTTAAGTCTATTCAGCTCACTACTGTAAAATATTTTTTGGCAATACATAATTGGAATATTATTGCGCTGCATGTGACCTTCCTTAATAGTCTCACAGTGCCGGAACCATGTTATTTCTCCTTCCGCTCAGCCTTTGCTGTAATAACGCCATACATCAGCTTTAAGTTGTCCACATTTGTTTCAATATCGCAAAAGTATGCGACAACAAAAGGAGGTACCTGATAAGACCTTACCAGCAAACAAATCTAGTTGACCTGATGCCATTAATATGAGAGTGTTAAAACGAATCTGTACATCTATAGCTGAACCTCTTTGTTTGTTGTATAATATATCACTGAGTGACTATAGTACTGTATTTCCTACATTGTGGAAAACGGGTAATGTTTCTCCTATTTTGAAAGAAGGAAATGCATCCCTCCCAACTAATTACAGACCTATTAGTTAATACCTATCCTTTGGAAAATCCTTGAAAGGAATAATGGTAAAGCATGTGCACGACCATTTCCATGAACATAACATTTTAAGTAAATTCCAGTCAGGTTTTACTGCTAGTCATTCTACTACATCTCAGCATAGACATTTATCATAATATATGCTCAGTCCTAGATAATCACCACTTTTACCGTATACTGTTTTGTGATATTTCAAAAGCTTTTACAGGGCAGGGCATAAAGGTTTATTGCACAAATTAGAAAATGATGGTGTTCGTGGAAACGTACTTAGTTGGTTAACTAACTATCTATCTGGGCCCGGTTGTTCAATACTCGGTTATCCTTAACCGGCCGTTAGGTAACCGAACGTTAAATATGCGTTGTTCAAAACATAGTTAGTCATGCCGTTAGCTAACGTCGCCGTCAAAGTTTAACAGTGTGGTTAACGTCACTGGTTAGCTTCCATATATCCCATAGTTCCGTTTTCTGTTTACTTCCGGTTTACCAATAATGGAAACGCAAAATGTCGCCTGCACCCCAAGGAAAAAGAGAAGTCGAAATTTCTCTGCTGACGAAGAGAATGTAATCCAGTCAATGGCTGAGGCCAACTCTATAGTTTATCATAGGCATGCGAATGTCGTAGCGTTACGAACGTTTTGTATTGGAACACAAGGTTCCAGCCGTTTGCATAATTTATATTTCAAAGACATATGATCCCAGCTCTGTGTGGGACTTACTTCAATTCCAACAACAGAAAAGACATTTTAATGAAACACTATAGCACAGCTATAGATAAAATATGATAAATCCATGACAATAATATTAATATTAGAAGCATGTTGTCCGTGGATAGAAAATGTATAAATATTACACACAGAGTTACGCTTAGACGGCTACAGTCTTAATGAATCTTGGAATTCCCACAAGACCTATCGCTCACTTTTCACTCCTTAAATTGTCATGGCTGTATGGCCAAGTCGTGAAGATGCTATCAATATCATATATTATTTATTTGCCAAGTCTGTCAAAAATTGTAATGTATGAACACACATTGCCAAATCTTTTAACATCAAACAATATAGATGTTGTGTATCTAATACCATAGCTTTTATCTGAAATATGCATTCAGTACCAATAGAAACTGAAATATGTTACTAGCACCACGTGCAAGTAACCAAACGGTAATGGTACTATAGGCCCCAGGGCCAACACTGCTGAATAAAATCGATCTATTATCCGACCTTACTTTTGACAAGAATCTCATGAATAATACTGTGTAATATCGTCATTATCTGAACGCCTTCACAGACGCATATTCCGGAAAGATGTCTTTAAAAACATGAAGCTGCGTCTAATTTATAGATGAACATAATTTCCTCGATACTCATTAATCAGATGAACCTTCATTTAGTTCAATTCACAAGTGACTGCAGAAAATGCATAATTCTTGTTAATGACTTCACGGTCGGAAAACATGTGTTATATTTTATAAGTGTATTATAGAACGCTGTAGTAAATAAACATAACTTCCTCGATACTCATTAATCAGGTGAACCTCCATTTAATGCATAGATAGTTCTTTTCAATGTCTTCAAGGACGGAAAACATGTATTATATTTCATAAGAGTATTATAGAACGCTGCTACGATTCGGCAGAGAAATACTATTGTGCCATAGTATTCCTTATATGAACCTATCAGTGTATAACATTAGCATTCAGATATCGTTATAAAATAAGTTAAAAATTCCAAATATTATCGTGTAATATGACAAGAGATAGTGTTGTGTTCGCTGTGACAAAAACGTTTCGATATTCAAATATAACATTTAATCAAAGTGACTACGAAGTTGGCCTGCATATCACTCACAACAGAAATAGATACATATAATGTTATGTTTATTTTCCTACACATCAGTTGCGAGAGCAATGTTTATGCTAACTAAGTTTTCATCAATTAATACAGCATTTTAAGAGATGATTTGCTTCAATTAAAACATTCGAAGAATGAAAAAGAAATTAGGCCTATTGCTGAAATGAATATAATTAAAATCCATCTATGGGAAGGGATGCCAGACGGACATATCAAAACAAAATCGGATAATTACTTGGAGTATAGACTTTCAAAAATAGCATATTATTTAACAATGATATCAGTTTTTAATAAAATCACTAATAATTCGGAAACGTTGCCGATAAACCTGGAATCGTGTTCAGATGTTTTCATAAATACACTCACACGAACGCCCAAGTGCTCTTTGCGCCCTATTGGATAGTGTTTACAAAATCACGTTTCGCGAAGGCCGGTATTGAAACGCCAATTACATCACTTGTATTTCATATTCAGTGACAACAAATGAATCACTGCATTCTAAGGCTGGGACGGGTACTCGGGTACTCGAATCCGGGTCGGGTACAGCTGGAATCGAGTCCTATTTCTAGGAATCGAGTATCCGGAAAGGGAGAGAGCTCTGTAATGACAAGGGCAGACAATAGCTTGTCTTTTCCTTTGACGTAAATAACACATTTACATAATTGAGTGAGTGAGTGAGTTAAGTTTTACGCCGCACTCAGCAATATTCCAGCTATATGGTGGCGGTCTGTAAATAATCAAGTCTGGACCAGACAATCCAGTGATCAACAACATGAGCATCGATGTGCGCAATTGGGAACCGATGACATATGTCAACCAAGTCAGCGAGTCTGACCACCCGATCCCGTTAGTCGCCTCTTACGACAAGCATGGGTTACTGAAGATCCATATTCTAACCCGGAAATTCACGGGTTTTTACATCATTGGTATTGTCCGATTAATGGAGCATAGTTTTAAAGACTGTAAGTTATCTGTGCATGAACAGTGAGAAGTTAAGTTACAGTAGCAGCAGGAACGAAATATTCGTTGTTATAACGAGGAATGTAAGTAATGGTGTTACTCTCTATATTGGTTAAACAGACGTAAATTAAATAGCTTGAGGTCAGTTTTAATGTCTTATTACCAACTGTTCAGGTTTTCATAATAATCTCTGTCAAATCGTGATTGAATATTCAGAAAGTTGACCCGAATGTATTTCTTAATTACATTTCCCGGGTACTCGATTCCGATTCGGGTAGGTACATGCGGGTACTCGATTCCAGTGTTTCCTACTCGTCCCCGCCCTACAGTGAATTCCTCATACATTTTAGCATCTAATTACAACTGGTCTTTTTGGCACCAATACCAAGTGTCTAGATAAAGTGAAACGAAAGATATTGGGGGTGGAAACAACTGCTGTGCTCGAAAGACAACACCTGTTTGAAATGTAAACAAAGAAAATTTCAGACTTTATACTGTGTAGCATTTTCTCAAATTTTCAGACACCCATTTGCATGGAAAGAGCATAGTAGCAAGAAATAGGAAATTAAAAATAGATACAATACAGGAATGTGATGTGTTTACACGAAACTGTCAAGTTTCTGTGCTGCGTGACGCCATGACTGACGCAAAATCACGCAGAACGACAACGGTAATAATCGGCATTTCTGGCTTCTTCTCTTTCTTAAAATGGGAGTGTATTTGGCAATTTCTCTGAGGTGAAGGTCGGTAGAATAAGAGTATACACAATCACCATATCCCGCCGATTACACTCAGTATCATAATGTAATCGTTCGGATATTTTTTCATGAAACTAATTTAATTATCTACATGTAGCCTTGTTCAATATCATATAATACGTGGGTATAGGGTGTACGTGTTAGATTCTTTGAAAGTGTTTGTTGAATAATATTTACAGAAGAAATTCACACATTTAGTGTAGTAAAGCATATATAAACCTTTCCACAAGTGTTAAAAGATGAAACGTAGGCATCATGTACAACATGTATTTTAGTTCCTATGATGTGCATAGATACAGTTTCGTATGTAACTCTTCGTTTCCAATATTTCCAATATCAAAGTCCAGTCCACGATACACCCTATCCTTTCTTTGCTGAACTGGCATCATGAAAGCAGTGTTAGCCATGAACGCCATTTGCGAGTTAACCACACTGTTAAAAAGTTAGCGGAGGTCCTTAGGTGTGTTAACTTAACGTCACGTTAACAGCCTGTTAAAAGTTAACAGAGTTTTGAACAACAAGATAACCCACTGTTATTAGGTAACAGTCGGTTAAATGTACTTAACGGCTGGTTAAAAGATGACTGAGTTTTGAACAACCGGCCCTGATAGACGACAGTGTGTCTCTGTTAATGGAACATTATGAAAAACTAAATGTTACTGCAGGGGTTCCTCAAGGATCTGCCCTTGGTTAATTTGTGTTCCTTGTATATATCAATGATTTACCTGGAAATTTACAAAATATCACAATAATGTTGGCCGATGTTAGATTTTAATGAGCTTCGTCCTTCAAGCCTGAAAACCTTTTAATACGGTTGATTAATCCTTTGTCATTTATAAAAAAAAGTAGTGAGGTTGTGCTTTATTGTTATAGATTTCTAAACTATAGGGACACTATTGGGAAGTTGGTAACTGTCATCAGACATTATTTGACGACATTTCTCATGGTTTGAATATAGCCGACTTTATAGAAGATAAATATCAGTTTACCACACAACTGCCTAAATCTTGGTATTCTCGGAACCAGAGAAGGGATATGCCGATATTTAGGTCGTTAACCTAGCATATTATGGTCACGAAGTCTTTTATTGCGGAAATTACGCGATAATCTACTTCCCAACAAAGGCAGGCTCCCCGTCATCGTTGTATTTAGAAGGCGGCTTCTTAGAAGCAGCGTGACGTCATAACATTGTTCATGATGTCATGTCACCATGACAAGGTGACATTTTACCCGGTGCATATCGCATGAAAACAAATTATTCCCGATATGTTTGCCCTCGTATGTTATAAGCATTGTTATTATCATTCTTTGAGGTTAATGCCACCCGTTGAATTCTTTGTTGTATTTGAGCGGGGAAACTAAATAAATGATTTCTTTGGTCTACCCATAACAATTAAGGTGTCAACTTCCACTGTATACCTTACAGAAAGAAGTTTTGACTTTACTTTGATAACGAGCACATCTGATCGATTCCTTGAAGCAAATGATGCAATTCAGTATCATTTCTACATTTTATTTTAAAGTACCAATCAAATACAACAAATGAGTAGACAGATTGACTGCTATGTGGCAAGGAATAACCAGGCGCCAGCGATTTATGATATCCTTAGCAAATGTAACTTAAAATTCCCTCTCATAAAAATACAATAATATGTAGTAATATGATGAAGAAAATAATACGAACCAGGTTAAACTATGACAACGCAATATATGAATGTATGATCGAAACATAAATCATAATAAATCACATATGATCAAAACATAAAATTGACTTCAAATATATCTTTGCGTCAACATTGAAAATAATTCGAAAATGAAGAAGAAGAAACGTACAGTTCAAAGCGTGAACAAACAATATCCTGTTATTTTGGGATATGCTATGAAGAACTTCAAAATGTAATAGAAATAACATTAAATTATTGAAAGCTATTGCTCGTAAAATATGTCCTTGCGTCAACATCGAAAATAACTCCATAATGAAAAACAATTAACTTTAATTTTCGAAACATACACAAATAACCTCTGGCTTTTTTAAGACGTGTCACGAATAATTTCACAGCTGGTAGAATTAACATGAAATTATAGAAACCATATGCTAACAAAAAATTGAAAATTAGTAATGACAAAGCGTTTGTCACAAACATAGCTATTACCCCCGCCACATGTCGATATCTGAATGTCGCAATTATCCTCTGTCTGACCCTGAAAATTATGTAAACGTTACCGAAACTGTCATCTGATGCCTTGATACAAAATGCGAACAAATTCCATCCTTTAGGTTTGGAGATAACGCAAGAATACTCGCTGTGACCTTGAAAATAATCCGAAGGTCACTGAATTCGACTGGCGTTAGACGATACTCCCATTTGGTACTACCTTTAAGCAAAACATATTAATTCTGTCTTGTATTTTCGCACTAAAAAGTTAGACATGTCCAAAACACTTTTCACTGTGAACTTAAAATGAGCACAGGTTTCCCAATCAATTGGTGTTGGGGGATTCCCGCCAATACACCTTGATATAATATTGGATCAAAATCTGTTAATTCTTTCCTGAGTTCGCGGCTACCAAGCTTGGCATGTGCAAAACTGTTACACCTTCGCTGTGACCTTTAAAATGACCTCAAGGTCACTAAATTCAAGTGGTGTCGGTAAATCTCCAATCTCCAGTCAATAAACCTTGGTACCAAATTTGAACAAAATCCATCATTTCTTTCTCGAGTTCATTTAGTAAACAGAATGGGGAGTCATTTGAACAAGCGATTGTAGTTTTGAAATTGCTTTTTTGTGCAGTTTAATATCTAAGTTTGATTCTAGCCGACTTCTACCAATCTCAAACATAGCATATTTTTTCCTGAAGTTTGTGATGCATTTTATCGCAGATTTTACGTTTTTTTGGAGTACCAAGCCAAGATACAAAGTCTCACAAAATGGGGATCGTGAGGCTGCAACATAGCAAAACCAATTTGCGTGAGGCTGACAGATAATATGTAGAAAAATAAAACATAAAAACAGCTGCATTTGTATCATATTCTAGGTGAGGCTGACTACTATTTGAACGTCCCTCGTAGTTATACCCGTTAGAACACCCACCCACCTCTCCGACTCTACATGCATGCAAGTGTGATACCCGTTAGAAACCCGGCCCTACCCCACCCCCACTTTATATGTATACATATCAAAACCTCAAAAGATGTTTGCGAAAAGACATGATACAGAGGACAGTTTATGTCGATTATATATCAGGACGAATATCATTTTCGTCATTTAGCTAATATTTGTCAATTCATTCTTGGGTTATGGCGCTAACAATCTTTATATTGGCAAAACCCTCAGATTTTTGCTGTGACCTTGAAAATTATTGTCCCGGGGGCAGCAAAATGACAACCCCCTCCCTCACACACACACTCCCCATCCCCATCCCCCACCCTCAGTATAATAGTTCTTTGTAAATTGGCACCAGATAATGGTGAAACGGAAAACGCGCTGTTATATCACCAAAGTAAATAAGTATGGTCCGAATATTTGCAACTTTGCGTCTGATTTTTAAATAAATAACTTAGGCAGATTTAAAAAACCCAGCTGCATTTAATTTTCATACTTTATTGGAATACAACGATAATCCTTAATCATATCAGAGAGTAAATAATCAACTAACTTATACTTAAATTCGTGTATTTCTGCTAAATGTATGTGTATATGTTGTGCTTTCTTTATTCCCGAACGACGTTTCATACAGAAATATTGGTGGAGATGTGCTGAAATACCCCATCGTCACGTGTCCGTTGTTAGCTACACGTGGTCATGCATTCTTAATATTGTCAGCGGGTACATGTCGACAGGGGAACTGGCTCATTAAGACGAACAATACGTTGTGTCCAAACTCCTTTAGATGGCTATACAAACAATTACACGAGACAGCCATGAGCTGAGTTGTCGGCTCAGACATATATGAGATGGGCGGAGTTCCAGCTCCTACGAGCGGCATTATCCTTCTCCTCCCTACACAGGCAGTCGGAATACCGGACAGGTGAAAATATAGATGTGAACGACAACGATTAATAGACGGAGAAACAACAACGGACAGATAAAGAATCAATAGCATTGACTGGGACTAATTAAGGTAAACCAATTAAGGTTTATATAAACGTCATACACAGTACTAAAGGAAAGTGAAAGTGGTACGGGTTGGCTGACAAGTCAATGCACAATGCGCTGGTGATGAAGATTAAGAACGGAGATTAGCGTGACATAAATATACTACTCACACTTTGCTAAGGATCACAAAAATTCGCAACTTTACTCAAACGCAGATCTATCATTTGAAATTGTATCCATTTAAAACTGGATAAATAATGATATGGTTGCACATGTTTAGGAAAACAACCACTTTAAGCTAACCGTATTCACTTGATACATGTGTAACCATAAAACTGGTTTTCATGGCACCAATCAACGACTTTGCAAATCATGGAACGAGACATTGGCAAGTACACACCACCTGTCAATAGCAGGTATGGGATCCACAAGATGCAGTGACATACTGAAAACTTGGATCCATGCATACAATAGGCTTAGATATTTAAACCAAATTTGACCCCACATCATAGTTTCTGTTGAATCAATGATTTGATCCTTAGCAAAGTGTGAATAGTATATTGTTGCATTTAAGTCTTACATGTCTTGGCTACATGGTCTTCACTTTTGGAAATATTTGAACATGGCTGTCCTGAAACAGTCGCTATGACAATATCGTATCAATTATTACTAATTTCTCCTATGTCTCCTACGTTTCAAGCAATGCTTAATACAGAATGCTCCAGATGTCACCAGGGACGCACAAGCCATGAGGGCTTCCATAATTTCGCTACACTGGCCTAAGGTGGACATACTTGTTATGTCGCTCAAGTCCTCCATCTCATCAGCCCGAGACTTGATGCAGCTGCTCATCACCCAGCCGGCAGTGACCACGTGGAACGTCGTTTCGAGGAAGTTCCATTTGCAAAGTTTCATCCAATCACTGTTGTGATCGTGTTGTTTGCGATCTACTATCAGGACTCCAGTACTAGCCAGGAGGGAGACGGCCGAACCCACCATTGCCGTGTAGTCTGTAATTTTGACCCAACCCTCATGAAACAGGCAAGCAAGTGCTGCAAGGATCAGAGCATTGCCAACGACATCGGCGAGCTTCAGAACAAATCTCCGATGATCGTTGTTAATCTAGAAATACACAATATTATTAATTATTTTTTGCGTCCGTTCTTAAATAAATCTGCACTTATAGGTATGCTATCTATTGTAAATATCCGCACAACGAGATCATAGTCTCTGTTAGTATCTGTTTCCAAGTTATGGAACAGGTTTGGTTTATATTGAACAATATTTAAGGAGTGACACCACTTAAAAATGAATCACATTTATTTTGTTCCGTTAGTATGAGATATATTTAGTTTAAGGATCTTGGAAACATACCTGTTGATTAGCCGCATTTGGACCAGGATTCTGCAACAAAAGTAAGGATTTCACTCAACAATAAAGTTAATCTGACATGAAATAATTCATCCTTCAATACATATTTCTGAAGTCATCTCATCGACTGTAAGTTCTTGAGCACCCCTCTACAAAACAAGTTATTGTTGCATTTATTCAATAATGAAGTTAATGTGGTCACATGTTCATATATTTATTGATTTATGACGCTACCCCTCTTTAGGGAGTGTCTGCATCGTGTTTCCAGATATGTGAAAGAATTTATTTTGATGAGATATTGACCTGACGATTGACCTGATATAATGTTATTATTTTCAATAAAATTCACACCACTTTATGATAACCATCTTGTTCCGTCAGTATACGATATATTCAGTTTAAGGATTTTCGAAACATACCTGTTGATTAGCCGCGTTTGGACCAGGATTATGCAACAAAAGTATGGATTTCACTCAACAATAAAGTTAATCTGACATGAAATAATTCATCTTTCAATACACATTTCTGAAGTCATCTCAGCGACTGTAAGTTCGTGACTCATGAGGTTCTTGCACGGCTCTACGGGGGTTAGGAGTCTATTTCTCCCGTCCTGTCTCTCCCAAAGAACATGTTTGGGATTAAATGGCGAGACGCCTGCGAAAGACCCAGCCACTGACGACTGGAACGATCTCTTGGTTGACATTCTGAACAACATTCCCTCTACTGTTTACAATGATGTGGTTGCTCCGTCTGTAACAAAGCAAATGGTGGTTATTTTGTTCCGTTAGTATGGTATGACCAGAAGTTATTGAGAATTTTAGGAATATGTTTAATTGGATTTCTTGTATAAACAACCTTGACCAGCTATCAAGTGCTTGATTTCATTCAAGAGAGACAACTCCGTTAATCCTTTTTCATTAGTTTGTGAAGAGGTATCCCCCTTTGTTTACTTGCTAGCAGACGACATTTTCAGTGATCTTCAGTATGGATGATTTAGAGAAGAGGAAGTTGATTTTAGAGTAGTATAACAGGGACATCAGATCAGCTAAAGTAATTTCAGGTAGAACAGGCATCCCTTTGTCCTCTGTTTATCGTGTTTTGAAATATATTGCAAATGGATATGGCATCGAGCACCAGGGAGGCGCAGGTAGGCCCAGAAAATTGACTGTCGGTGACAGGAGGCGGCTTGGTATTCTTGTTTCTAAAAACAAACGAAGGAGTTTAGAAAACTTAAGGCTGGATATGATTGATAGAGGAACTGTGGCTGTCTGTAAGGAGACAATTAGAACTGAGCTGCATGCAATGGGTTGGCAGAAAAGTCGAGGAATTCCATCACCGATCATGGAACCTGAACAAAAGGAGCGAAGGTTGAACTGGTGCTTACAGCATAGAAATTTTAACTGGGACAATGTGATTTTCTCAGATAAAAGTTCTGTGTGGCTGTTTCCTAATACACTGCAATTCTGGACCAAACAAACTGAAAAACCTTTGTATCAGCGCCCAAAGTACAGTCCGAAATTTAACATGTGGGTTGGCATATCTGTGTTAGGGGCAACGCCCCTCTGTGTATTTGAAGGGAATATGAACAGTGAGCGGTACACAGATATTCTCGAGGGACATTTACTTCCATCTGCTCACGTGTTCTATGGAAATTTCTGCATTTTCATGCAGGACAACGACCCAAAACATCGTTCAAAGCATTCACAGGCCTGGTTTCGGGCCCAAAATATGACATTATTAGATTGGCCAAGCTATAGCCCTGACCTAAATCCAGTAGAAAATGTCTGAGTACTTATGAAGGAAAGTGTCAATAAGAAAAATCTGACAAATATTGCTGAAATGAAGGAAGAGGTGGTCCGATATTGGGACAGCACGGACCACGACTATCTAACTTCTTAGATCAGTAGTATGCCCCGCCGCATTGAAGCCTGCATTGCTGCCCATGGTGACTTGACAAAATACTAACTGTTCACCTGTCTTTGAATCTGGAGTTATGTTCTGCTAATATTCACATTTAATACGTGAGTAATGAGTGGAAAAAAATAAATTACAATCTTTAAATTCTCAATAAGATATGTTTAGTTAAAGGATTTTCGTAACATACCTTTTTTTCCCACTAACTTTTTAGCTTCAGCAGGCATCTGCAAAACAAGTATTTGTTTCATTCATTCAACAATATATTTATTCTTACATCAAATAATCCATTTTAATACATTTTCATGAATACACCCCTACGACTGTAAAGTCTATAGGGCAGTGGGGTAGCCTAGTGGTTAAAGCGTTGGCTCGTCACGCCGAAGACCCTGGTTCCATTCCCCACATGGGCACAATGTGTGAAGCCCATTTCTGGTGTCCCCCCGCCGTGATATTGCTGGAATATTGCTAAAAGCGGCGTAAAACTAAAACTCAGTCAGTGAGTCAGTCAGTCAGTAAAGTCTATATTCACGATGTTCTTGCATGGCTCTACAGGGGTCCAGGAAGACGTTTTGATGTCTGTTTCTCCTGTCCTCTCTCCAACAGAACATGCATGGAATTACATGGGTCGATGCCTACGACAGGACCAGAGACAGCTGGTCTCTTGGTTGACATTTAGAATAACATTCCCTAGTCTCTTTACAATAATATTTCTGCTCCGTCTGTATCAACGCAAATTGTGGTCACACCCGATGTTGATGTTAATTTATTGAGCCCTAACAGTTTTATTGAGTGTCAGTGTCTTTTTCAAGGGAACGAGTTTTGGAAAAATATCTATTTTGAAACAACATTGATCAGACGAATGACCTTATATGATGTTATTATTTACATTGACACCACTCTATATGAGGCTATACCCTATACGACGTTTTCCCGTTAGTAGACATTTTGTCAAATTTAATTATCTTTGAAACATACCTCTCCTTCATGGGTTGACTCTTCATCAGCCATCTGCAAATAAGTATATGTTTTCTCACTCAAGATATGATTATCCCTTGACACAAAGACATGCTTTGGAAGATTTGGTTAAAATTATTATTCATATTCAGAGGTACAGATAAGTTGCGTATCTGCGTAAATTACGCAAACATTTATGTGAAAACCCAATTCCTATTAAATCTATTGCGTACAAGTACGCTTAAAGTTTTGTAAATACTCAATAAATGTGATCTTACATGCGTACACACAAAACTGTCCAATCGTATCTTGCGTACCGGTGGATAGATAAAATAACTGACGTTTATTGAGAGGTTCTATATTAGGACATGAACTGACAACTTGCAGTCTTTCTTATCGTTTCTCATATTACAGATCAAAGGTAAATCACAAACACTAACATTTAAACTATATTATATTTTTAAAATTAATGGAAATTGGCACAATACCCAAATGAGTTTGATTGAGGTGAGTACAATTTATTTCGTTACTCAAAGGAAAATTAGGATACCTAATTGAGATGAACACAAGCGAGTACATAACTCAATGACCCAAAACGTTATCTGTAGCTCTGTCATATTATGATTTTAGTATTCGGAATATAATAGATAAACGTCCTCATCTTGACATATTTAGAAATCAGACAGACAGATTTAGTATTAGCATAGTATTTAGTATTAGTTCCTCGTGGCCTTAAGTGTGATGATGTGAAAACAATTGCATTGCAACCAGGACATAGCTGTACAGTGACCCCTTTCTGTGAAGTAATGGGCACTAGGTCAAGGTGACAATTGTATATGTGAAGTAATTGGCACTAGGTCATGGTGACAATTGTATATATGAAGTACCGGACACTAGGTCATGGTGACAGTTTAGTGCAGAATCGGGTACTGGATTACGAACAATGTCTATCTGTAATACACACTAGACTGTACTTCAATATGAGTTCATACCACACCACTTCTCTAACACTACATCAGCTTGGAAACGGTACAAGAAGCCACATTAAGATGTTGCTTAATAGAACACATTATGTCCAAACCTTACTGGAGTACTTTCTTTGAGAGGCATTTTAGAAGTTGTGAAGATGAAGGAAAACTGATTTGTATGGATAGTCAACTTCTTTATTGCAATGAGTGCACTCATTGCAATAAAGAAGTTGACTCTCCATACAAATCAGTTTTCCTTGCTGGAGTACGTTTGTCGTGTCTTCTCTCTGACGCTCTCAACATAAAAGTGAACTTCTAAGCGGATTACAACTTGAGTGTGTGTTTCCGGTTCATTGAGGTATGAAAAGAAAGACTACATGCACAGTTTGTATGAATAAGCCAGCCGTCACTTCTTCTAGTCAAATTGGACAACACAGTTATTCAAGCGGAACATGCACCCATTGTAACTCACATGCATCGACAATTGTCCACACGAATCAAGTGGTCCGTCAGGGTATACTAATCGTGACTGATCATGATGTCGTAGAGATCGTTCTGGGTGGTACACGTACAGCTTGCTTTAAATATACTACTCAAAGTTTGATAAGGATCATATAGTTCTTACATTATAAAATCAATATATGAATTGATATGACACGCAAATTTCATCACAATGTTGGACTGACCCCTCTTGAGCCTCAAAACACAGGTTAGGTAGGGAAATGCATGCTGCAATGATCATGAGTAGCACGTGAAGCATGGTACCCACATTTTTCACATTTCTGAGTGCTTGTCGTTGATTTGAATTTGGGCATTGTCTTTACATCTGACATCGTTTAAGTCACTGTTACTCTATGAAAATGTCTCCACAACGTCAAAGACGTCGTTTGACTGTTGAAGAATTGGCCAGATGCATAGGAATGCTCGAAAATGGTGCAAGACAACGTCACGTTGCAGAGCTATTGGGTGTCAGTCAGAGCGTTGTTTGCAGAGCTTGGAACCGGTATCAAGCTCATGGTTCAGCTGCTCATCGACATGGAGGCGGCAGAGAAAGGTCCACCACGCAGCAAGATGACCGTTTTCTCTTGATTTCAGCACAACGTCATCGGTTTGCAACGGCGACTGCGCTTAGAAATGATCTTCTGAATGCAACTGGAGTTAACATTTCCACGCAAACTGTGCGTAATCGTCTTCATGAAGCTGGTCTTCGTTCCCGGAGAGCCTGTATTCGCATCCCTCTTACTCAGCGACACAGACAAGATCGTTTGAATTGGGCCAGGGCCTCATGTGAATTGGAGGGTTGTTGATTGGGCCCCTGTACTTTCTACAGACGAGTCGAGGTTTTGTGTTGACTTCACAGATCGTCGTGCACGAGTGTGGAGAAGGGCAGGAGAACGATATCAGGACGCTAATGTTGCTGAACACGACAGATATGGTGGTGGGTCGTTGATGATTTGGGGAGGAATCAGTCGAGCTGGACGAACTGATCTCCATGTCCTAAGGCGAGGCACGATGACCGGAGTGCGCTACAGGGATGAAGTCCTGATGTGTACGTGAGACCATATGCTGGTGCTGTTGGTCCTGACTTCATCCTCATGGACGATAATGCACGTCCACATCGTGCTAGGGTGGTGGACGAGTACCTGGAACGTGAGACAATTGTTCGTATGGACTGGCCAGCTCGTTCTCCAGACCTCAACCCTATCGAGCATGTCTGGAATATGCTTCAGGTAGCGATTTCACGTCGTCCTGTACAACCAACCACCCTCCAGGAACTTGAAAATGTTCTGATCCAAGAATGGAACAATCTCTATCTTGCGTCCATTCAAAACCTCGTTTGAAGCATGAGACGACGTTGCCAAGCTGTCATTGGAGCTAACGGAGGCCATACCCGCTATTGGCACTTGTTTGTGCAGTGTGAAATGGAATGTGCAGAGTTTAAACAATTTCGTGATCATGAAATTACCATGCTTTTTATGGTACTCTCCCTTTACCTTAGGAGTACGCGATGAAATGTCATGTTTGCCAAATTTTTCTGTCACAATTTCTTGAAGTAAACATTTCTGAACATCAATCACTCTGTGTTGGTTGTCATTCACCTTTGTTGAAAGCTTTACAAGTGCTGAAAAATATGATCCTTATCAAACTTTGAGTAGTATATATAATACAGTCTCTTCCACACGTATAGCAACCCATGCAACTGAATACCACGCCATGCAACTGAATACCACACCATGCATCTGAACACCACGCCATGTATCTGAATACCACGCCATGCAACTTAATACCACGCCATGCAACTGAATACCACGCCATGCAACTTAATACCACGCCATGCATCTGAATACCACGCCATGCATCTGAATAACACGCCATGCACTTTGATACCACGCCATGCATCTGAATAACACGCGATGCAACTGAATACCACGCCATGCATCCAAATACCACACCATGCATTCAAATACCACATCATGCATTCAAATGCCACATCATGCATTCAAATACCACAGCATACACTCGAATACCACACCATGTACCCAAATACAACCCCACGCAAAAGAGTAACACGCCGTGCACCCGTTTAAAGTGTATAAAACAAAACAAAAAAGCTGTTACAGGCTTGAACCCATTGAGAAAACATTCGTCAAAACGCAACATTTTCCCGATAACAACGCAGCTGTCCGAAAACTTGCATTATTCAAAACGTGTAAAGCATAACTGTGACACATTGGTCCAAACGCACGTGCATGATTGTGGCATAAATGCCGAAATTGGACAGAACAAGCACGAATATGCCTAAGGCTCCTTCACAACGTCAGCTGGCAAGAACCTTCAACTGCAGCCAGGCCACCATCAGCAAATTGATAAACCGCTACCAGCAAACAGCCCAGGTGCAAAGGCCGCTCAAGATCGGGAAGACTCCTCGGAGTCACGATACCAAACCGAAGACCGCCACGCTACATCCGGTAGAATTGTGACGACGTCGTCAACGGCGGCGACAACACTAGAACTTGGGTTCGATTCCCCACATGGGCACAATATGTGAAGTCCATTTCTGGTGTCCACCGCTGTGAAATTGCCAGAATATTGCTAAAAGTGGTATAAAACCAAAGTTGAGTTAGTGATAACTTTCTTTTGCCCTGTAAGTTGTATATTCCAGTGAAGGAATACGAATATACTCTGAAACCCCGTGTTTATCATTATAAAGTAGTTGACGTCCATAAATGCTCTCCCTTCCTTTCGGGGCGGTGGGGTAGCCTAGTGGTTAAAGCGTTGGCTCGTCACGCCGAAGACCCGGGTTCGAATCCCCACATGGGTACAATTTGTGAAGCCCATTTCTGGTGTCCCCCGCCGTGATGTTGCTGGAATATTGCTAAAAGCGGCGTAAAACCAAATTCAGTCAGTCAGTCTCCCTTCCTTTCAGATTGTTCTCATCTTCAGCTTGGAGTATTACATCGTCCATGTACATTAAAACATTAACATGTTCACCATCAACAGGTATGCAAATACAGAGGGGAACAGATCGTTGAATAGAGGCGGCGAAAGTATACATCCTTGTTGAAATCCAGGTTTAATTGTCAACCATGATGTACAAATGATGTTAATTTCCACAGTCTGTACATTCTTATGTAATGAGGCAATTTGAGGAAAACATAGACAATATCGCTATTATTAAGTTTCACAGGTTGTTCCAAAGTTTTGTCTGAAAAAGACCAGGCATGTGTTTACGAAGACTAACAACTGGTCCGAAAAGTGCCCTTCATCTACACTGCATTTCAGCAGAATATACATTTAAGACCATTTTTCCCGAGATCACGTGTCCACCAAGATGCTTATCCTAAGAGGGATAGGGTTGTAAGGTTTGCTGACTTGGTTGACAAATGTCATCATATACCCCTTGTGTAGATTGATGCTCATGCTGTTGAACACTGGATTGTCTGGTCGAGACCCGATTGTTTACAGACCGCCGCCATATATCTCGAATACTGCTGAGTGCGGCGTCAGCCAACAACTAAATTAATGCCCTTATGGGATGTCATGCGTCATCAGAGTGACGGTTGGGTAGCCTAGTGGGAACAGCGTTTGCTCGTCACGCCGAAGAACCGGGTTCGATTCCCCACATCGGTACAATCTTCTCAATCAGATTAAGACGGGTTTGTTTCCTAAGCATTAGCAATGAATTAAGTGTTCACCATTTAATGTCACGCATTGAAAGGCGCCCTCCAACAGTTCGATTGTCCTGCAGCAAATAGTCTTGTTTATTTGACAATCGTTTATGTTCGTTGGTAGCTGTACGCTTTTCAGAAAAGAGACACAAAATGTACAGTTTCTATTTGAGATTGTAATTTATAGTGCAGACGATCACATAGGAAAAAAACGCTCTCATGGTTTCAACGCTCTGGTGAACATTAGTTTGACATGTAATTTGAATGACACCTTGTTACATTTGAATATGGTTCTCAAAGTCACGACTATTTTTGTGTATACCCACGT